AAAAATTAAAAATCAAATATAGTATGTTACCTGCCTCTATGAATTATAACTATTTAAAACATTTTTTTTTTAATTTAAGATACCAGGTCCCGGGATCATGAAACATCTTAAGCTTAAGGTAGGATTCTTCTCGTATTTCTAATATTTAAAATTAATGAAATTTTCACAGAAGACAGTATCAGTAAGTGATAGTATCAGTGAAATTAAATTTGACCGTTTTATATTAGAGGCAAGGTCAGGTCAAGGTCATTATCTTTTTCCTTGACATTAAGAATAAAAAATAACTGTTGTCAATCATGTGATATCTACTTCTATTTCAAAAGTTTAATGATTGTTCTTTTTGCATAAAAACATATTATATCGGGTCCATAGCATGATATTACAAAATTTACATAAATAATTTAACTCAACTGGATATTGGCTTATCCGAATTTTCTCTGTTTTTCTTAATTTTTTAGGATATATTAGTTATTTTTATATGCTTCCTATATTAAATTTTTCTTATTTTCACATATAATAAAGCTGTCACATAAATGATACAAAATGATACAAAAACAATAAGTTTTGATCGTTTACTAAGAGAGAAAAACACATTTTATGGATTTTTGGCTCAAATTAATTTTATTTGTATAGGATTGGTTTTTAAAAGCTAACAAAGTTCTAGTTTGTTTGAAAAATAATATTTATTTGATATATTTGAAACTTTGGTCCCTTATTATCAATTTAAAAATTTCATGTCTTCGATTGTGTTAAAAATTATAACTAAATTCATTTTTCTATGAAAATTTTGAGAGGCAGAAAATAAGATATTTTCATACGCCATCACTTCCGCCAAAAATATAGTCCCTGCTAGTTTTCAAACTGCACTTTACCATTTATATTTAAAGTTGTACAATTGTTATGAGTAAAGAAAAATATGGTCTTTTAAATCTCTTACATCTAAATATATAAGACATATAACAATTATACACTTTGAATTATATTTCATCTAGTCAAAAACCGGAGAAGAATCCTACCTTAATTTTCAGTATAATACTTGGAAATTTTTAGTGCAATGTTGTAATTATACTATTTCAATGACATAAAAAAAAACATTTTAAAACTTCTGTTGGTTATATTTGTAAGGGAAAAACTATTGTAAAGTTTATTGAAAGCAAATTTACATTTATATTGACTTGGTCTTGTACAATATTTTTATTTCTTATATGATACTATAAATTTCATTGTACAGATGTGTTTGAACAAATATATTAATACTTTATTTTAGTCCAATTGATTGATCATAAAGGATTAAATACAAACAGATTTATCATAACAGCACATTTAACAGCAAAATAAAATTCTCAAAAATGCAGCTCATATATATTGCTATAATTCGAAATACGTTTCAGAAAAGCAGAGATTCATTTTAGATATTAAACCTTTGAGATATGTAATATTCAATACTATATCAGCATAATGAAAACACCATTAAGTCTTTTTTTTATGTAGCAGAAAACTCGTAAAATTAATCATAAAAAGCTTGAGCAGTTACATTTTAGTTGCCTGCGGAGAGTCATGGAACTCCTTTGCCTAGCACTGAAACTGTAGCACCATTAGATCACCATTAGATCAATACCAAGCAAAGTTTTCAATTTTCCTTATTTTACCCTGAACTACTCTTAAACAATGTTGGAACGAAAATTTTGTCCTGTACATAACCCATTATCAAAATATTTGCTATTCGCCATTTTCTGTAACCATACACCTTTAAAAGAGAAAACATCAACATTTAGCATTAAATACATCACGTACCTTTGGGCTTTTTATAGAAACTAACCTGCTTGATAATTATATAGATATCATTTGGCAATTCAGTTGCGTAGTATGTTATCACCATTGCTTTAAATCTATTTACCTAAAGATAGGTTACTTCTGAACCTAAAACGAAAGTAAAAGTGGTCAATAAGCTTTTCTCGAAATAAAAGTAACGATGAATTATTTCTAATAATTTGGATTAATTAATTAGCGGTAATATAGCGGTCTAGATTTTTTCTTTCATTACAACTGATCATAAACTTCAAATTCAACATGTATAGTTTTGGTAGTTTAGTAGTAGTAGTGCTAGCTGTCTTTAATTTCTCTCTTTCCTTTGTTTTATCACAGGCACCTGAAGTATGGATAATACCCCCCCCCCTTTTTTTTAATGAAAAAAAAATGTAAGAGTGTATAATATCTCAAAAATATAAAATTTCCCCGTCAAACACATCTATATGTCGTTATATGCAAGCAGATTGTACTTTTTCTCACGTTTAAAGAATGGCCTTATTCGGTATAATAAAAATACACAAGGTAAGAAACAAAAGTTGTAAACAAAAGGGGAACCCCTACTTCGAGACAGATTACCAAGGTAATAATTAATGTTACCTATCATAATTTTGCAATCAATCTGATTGGGAGATGTTCTTTGATTAGTCTCTATAACCTAAACCCCGCTATTAGCGTTTTATATGCCGTAATCAGACGATTTATTAATCGGATACATAAAATTTTCTCCATTGGCAGCGTTAAAGGAGGTTTTGGAGCTGCTTTTCTGTTTCGCCTTATCTGATTGGTTAGATATTTAAACTGTATTATAATTAGCCAATCAGATAAGGCGAAACAGAAAAGCAGCTCCAAAACTAGTTAGAATAATCTAACTGTGTCTCGGTACAGGCCCTCACCACAGTTAGAATACCACCCATATACTCGTAATGTAGCAAAAAATTGCAGAATCGCACCGAAACGATTTTGAAGAATATAAAATGATTTGCACTGGGAATAACTACCAAAATAATCAAAACAAACCTTCTTGAGATTGCTTATGCCTTTCATCCCAAAAATAATCCATATAAATACGAAAATCCAATTCATTTTCTCAACGTTTTTCTCTCGATTCAAATTACCTCCATGTTTACTTTCGGAACTCTCTGGATTGTTCATAGTAAATCCACTGAGTATAAGATATCACCTGTGTTAATTTCTTTTGCTACATTACGAATACAGGGAACTGGGAATTCTATCGTTAAACCGGGTCCGTAGGACAATATCATTTTAACGATAGAACATTCTATCTACAATGATCCGTATCCGTAGGACATGTATACTTTTCCAATTCAGAGTATAAATGATTTATCAGGAAAATTTTTTAAAAATATTATTACATGAGCAGTAATTAATTAATGAAGAATGCATTGAGGTCTATGGGAAAAAGAAAATTTTTGAAAATAAAAATTTACCTCGTAAGAATATCAAACACAAAGCAACACAACAACATTTACCTATCTTGGCAGCATAGCAGTAACATTAGATGGAGGTGCGGACAAAGATATAAAGGCCAGACTAAGTAAAGCTAGAGGTGCCTTCATCAGCCTCAAGAACATCTGGAAAACAAATGACATAAGCAGAAGGACAAAAATAAGAATATATAACAGCTGCGTACTGTCTGTCCTACTCTATGGGTCAGAATGCTGGAGACTAACAGAAGGAGACATATGCAAACTCTCTAGTTTCCACAATGGATGCATCAGAAAGATCATGAGGATTTTCTGGCCAAACAAAATTACAAATGTGGAACTCCATGAGAAGGCCAACACAGACAACATGCGCACTTTGTTGACTAAACGGAGATGGAGAGGGATAGGGCATGTGTTGAGGAAGCCAGCCGACAACATCACTAAAGTAGCACTTAGATGGACACCAGAAGGGAAGAGGAAACTTGGTCGGCCAAAGAACACCTAGCGAAGGACTGTTGAAAAGGAAATAAGGGGCCAGAAACTAACTTGGGGAGAACTGAAGAGAAATTAATGCTCAAGATAGAGTGAAGTGGAGAAATCTAGTCCTTGCCCTATGTGCCGACGGGCATAACAAGGACTAGGTAGGTAGGTAGCTAGTAAGAATATCAAAAATGGAAAGATGTATGTAAATATAAAGTATAGAAAAACGATTAGAAATTAATTTTTTGCCGAATAGATTTTTTTAAAAATTGATTTTTATTGATTGAAAGCAAAGTGGGATAACTCCTCATGTACATATCAAGGTAAAAAAATAGAACACATTTAGCTCTTACATACTGATACTACAACAGAAAGATTCTATTTGCATATACTGAATATTCTGCCAATATATATATATGTTATACATTCAGATTCATTGAATTTGAGGCATTTTGGGTTGGATACCTTAATGTCTATCGCAATTCCAAGACTGTTGTAAGACCTGGCTCCAGGATCATGAAACTGACTTAAGTCTTACCTACATGTAAGTCAAATTTTCAATCCACTGGAAAGCGTTTATTAATTATTAGATTCATCTCAAAATTTGCAGATAACAATACCTTCATAAAGCAATATTGAAAAATATTTCACTTTTGGTCCACTCGACTTATACAAATTTATAACGACATAAAGATTTTGACTATTAAGCTTTAAAAGTTACATTCAACATGTATAAATCTATGCCGGTTCGCAAAAAACGATAAAGGTCAATTTTACACTCATCATAGACTTGAACAATATACAAGTCTGTCGAAACAGAAACTTTCGTCACCCATAAGTTTAATCTAAATTAAAGTCATTATTTCATAAAGAATTACTATATAGTAACTTTACAAAAACAAAGGTTATAGCTATTTCTCTAGAAGGAAAATAAAGACTTATTTAATATTTTATTTCAAAAAATACTTATATAAATATAACTGATAAGTACAAATATCTTGGTACACTTTAAACAATCAATTGGCACTTTAAAAAACGCTCGTGATGATCTTACTAATTTAGTCCAAAAAGCTTTTTGCCTTGAAGTTTAAATGAAGTCTTTACTCCGTTTTCTCACTCAGCTTGTGGCTTTAAAGCTATAGGATTAAATTATTGTCCTAATTTGAATATACTCCTCATACGCTTGTTTCTCCGATTTTAACGTTAATGCAGTCCTAACATTTTTTTATTTACCGCCTTTTCAGAAAATAGAAATTTTCATTTAAAAAAAAAATATCTAAAGCGTGTATAACATCAAACTCAGGAACAAAAATTGAATTGGTGTTTTTCCTCTGTATGTGCCAACATTAAAATACTATAATTGCAGATTGAAAAAAAAACAAAGTCCTATAATTATATATATGATATCGAATCAGTCAGATGTTTTAAAATACCTTACTTTGTTTGCTTATTCTATATACTTTGTATCTACAAAAAATTTTGTCTATATATCAAAGACTGCTTTAAAACATGTAAGAAACCGGCTTGTAAAAGATTAATATTTATAATACATAAATAAATGCGCCTTAGTTCCAAAAAAGAAATGAATTGAATTGCATGTAAATAAAAATAGTACTATGTAACCGGTATACATAAGTTAACGAACAGTTAGAATTACTATAGCAAACATGATAAACTCCTCGAAATGCATAATAGGAAGAGCAAAATAAAATCCCTCCGTTGTAAGCTGTAAATGTCCCCAAACTAAGACAATGGATTAATCAGCTGCGTGTACCGCCATAGCTCGTGATACGAGTCTGTCCGTTAACGGGGCGTTGGACTTTAAAGCCTTTCTGTCAGCAAGGAGACACCTTTAGTAAGAAAATACTTCAATTATCCACAATCACTATATAATCCTCTAAACGTAGTCAAATAACTTTATAGTAAGATGTATGATAGATTTAGCAAACCTTGCCAATTTGTTGTGTTCTTTTTGTGGGGACTGAAGGGCTGCATGGATCAGAAACTGATTAAAGACGTCCCTCTTGTTAAAATAAAACATTCATATAAATACAAAAGTATTTGCCTAATTTAATAACACTTAATTATTATTTTTAAAATGAACAATTTTAGGTTCGCTTCAATTGGACTTTCTTCAATATGATAAGCACTTGAATATACAGCACACGTCTTCGTATTTTTCTGTAGTTAGTGATCTGCCCTTAGATATTAATTCTAAAAAAATAGAAATTTACAATATATTACTCAATCTGTAATGAATTCAACTATTAGTATTTTAAAAGGCCAAAATAAATTAATTGTTTACATGTATTCTCTTTACATTGAAGTAATTAACAGTGATTTCTATTCACTGATACTGTGTTGTCTTCAAACATTTTTCCCGGTGGTAAATGCCACGCAACATACAGTGAAAATTAAATAAATAAGCTTAATATCAACTCCTTTATACAATATATTTTTCTCAATGTCCAAAAACAAAAAATTGCACTTGTGTAGAGAGGGTCCTTAAAAACAAACATAGAATAACAAACACAACAGTCACGTGGGTATATTTTATGCTGTTCAGGACCCACAAAAGTATAAAACAACACAAAAAAACTGATAGATAAAGATTTATGTATTTTATTTCAACCTAACTGAGATATATCGGTATGACATATGAATGAAAATAACTTTGGTAAACCGATGAAACATCGTCGATAAATATGAATGTCGAGTTGAAGGCCAAAGCAAGCAGTTTTTTCCTCATGTTGAGAATTTGAATATAAATTCTGCTCGATATGAATACAAAAATAGTCTTGCTAACAACGTGATTGTCGGAACACTAGGTCTACAAAAACTGCATAGGTATTGTCAATCAGAAACTCAAGCATCTTACCGATATCAGTTTAATATCTAGAGTATTTGTGTGTACAGTCAGAATGTTTTCAAACAAAAAAATTTTGCAAATGTCCAGTGATCAGGTTAGTAAAATTCCGAGTTCCATTTTATTTGAAAAGCAGCTGTCAATGTCAAAGAGTCTAGATTTTAACTCCTTACTTTGCAACTCTAGAGCAGATGCTCTAACCACGGCGCCATGTGGGCAACTGTTTAAATCATAGAGTTAGAGGTAATGTTTTTAACTTGTATGATATCGTATATCTACCTGCGCATGACTTCCTCCAATGGTTATTATTTTGTATCTGATAGGATTTACGAGAGAGACGGCTTTCACTTTAATCACGCTTTTAACTCATTCGAAATCCACCAGTATTTTGTTTAATAAAGAAAGTAATTGTTTTCATTACAAGAAAATTAAAAGTTTTGTACACAACAGATTAATTGTCAAAGATGGGAAACCATTTGCTTAGTCGCTCTAGATAATTTTATGTAAACTTTGATATAAATGCAAGATTGTTGTGTAATGGTACATATTAGCGCAGACCAAAGCTTCACACAAAGGGACCCCAACCTCTTTGGAGATTCTCTGGTTGTCTCCCTTACCTGTACCACTTAAAAATAAAGTCATAGTTGTATATTAATATCAAAAAGAAATTTTCTGAATCGTGGAAATCCAGATCATATTTTGAATTTAATGGTTTAAACTTATTAAATTTTTGTTAATTAAAATCAAATTCATCAAAAACAGATTTGGGGACACAAAAATTAATACAATTTACCTGGCGAATTCCCTTAGTGACCCTATCAATTTATCAGTAGTCATCTTATCCTTTGCTCCAAGACTTGCCATTAAAAAGTGGGCATCATTGAATGTCAAAATATGATCATCGGCATGATCCTTGCAAATTTCATTGAATTCCTTCCATTTGTCTTTCACTTTTACCCCTTAACAAAATAACAAAGACCTTTATTGTCAAGCTTATACATTGAAAATATATCATGAAAATATTTTTTAAAATAGCTACAAATAAGATTTATTCAAGTTCATATTGAAAATATATAATGAAAATATTAATAGCTATAAAAAGATTTAAATAGGGTAATGTTTAAAATCTGACCCTCAAGGCTCAGTCTGTAAAGTAATGAACACGCATCAACCATGTCAAGCATCGCCCCACTTTTGACTGCTCTTGGTCCAACCTAAAAATAGATTTTCTTTTAACTTAAAATAGATAAACAAGAAATTCTTCCGAGTTATTTTGTGCACTTTTGCATTGAAGCTATCTTTAATAGTAAAATCCATTTTGTGGTTTGGAACTCATAAACAAAATGCAAGCACTAACATGGTAGAGAGAAGGGGGAGAATTTGGGATAGACATCTAATTTTGGTTAAATATTGGGATGCTTAGAAGTACTGCAGTATATAATTACCAAAAAATACTTTACTAGTTAAATATATCTATATATACTATATAGGCCTGATGGTATAACATACCTGTGTGTCAAAGAGTCCCATTGCCTCATCATACAATCCCTGTAAATACAGACATTTGTATTTAAGACTTAAATAAAATGTAATGAACTGATTTAACAAAAGAAGCACTCCAATCTGATGATATACCTGCTCAATATTATATACCCCGTAATGCCAGTAATTGTGACAGGCCAGCATAGCACAAACCTGAAAGTAGAAAAAGAAATGTTTACCCTGCTAACTTATAATGTACACGTAAAACTCATTCAACTCTTTTTAAATTATGATGAAGCTACATTGTCACTGAAATTCTAAAACTTGTAACTGAAATAAAAACAATACTTCCATCAATTATGCCTAAAAATGTTTCTGCTAAAAAAACAAAACATTCCATTCTTTCTGTGAAATAGCAGCAATATTTGACTGTACATTTAATGTAACATTTGTCTTACGTTCCAATCATTTTCTGTGGTTGACATAAACTTGATCCCCTCCGTGGACCTCCCAGTCATCTCAAGCACGTGCGCCATCGAATGTGTAGACCAGCAATCATTGCGGTTTAGTTCCAGACCCTTAAAAATAGCAATATTAAGTGATCAGGGCTCTGTTCATCATCAGTTTTAAATTCAAAACAAATAATTTGACTCCAAGGCATTTTTGTAACTGGCAACTGCCACCTGTACCAAACTTCTTTCAATATTCAGGTATTAACCTTTTTCGCTAAACGTTCTGCTTCTTCATAATGATTGCACTCCTCCAACCCAAACGCATGCATTCCATACAGATAGCTACAATATCAAAAACATAGACAAAACAAAACTATTTTATATTAAGTCTGCAATAAACAAACTTTATTTGTGAAAAGATGAACATTATTGATGAAACTTAGTCCAAGGATGATTGAATAAAACATAAATTGCATCTGCACTACAAATAATTCATAAATTTACTTCAGTATCATTCAATTTAGCATTCTCATGGAATATGTTTGAAGGGACGTAAAACTTATCTATAGAAATGGAAAAATAGAAAGAAAGAAAAGGCTGATAATAATTCACAGTACCTATATAGTGGCATGGAGCTTTTCCAGTGCGGCATGACTCTAGCAATACTGTCCCTCATCTGAGGGTGGTGAGCCTGGTAAAAGTAGGAATCGTGGGCGAACTTCAGAGCCAACATGTCCAAAGGATTGTCCACCAAGATAGACTCCCAGATCAGACACGCATCCGTCATCTCTCTGTCAGGTAAGTTACAAAATGTGTGTACGTATAATTTTACAATTTACAACACAGCCATTTTCATGCACCTTTCTATTATGCACCCTTAATGTTCTGCTGAAGGCATCCTTTTTAACAGCTTCAAGTAAGAGTTACAACTCCTAATATGACATCGAGGAAAAATTTTTCATAATCTTTGAGCTGACTAATAGGTTTTATGATAAAACGTTAAGTTTCAGTTGCAGGAGGTTTTTTTCAGATGTACTTGTGTTAAGTTTGAAGTATTTACAACCCACTGAGATCGTATGCGTTTTGTGTTCCCTAAATAAAACTTGAAATAAAAAAGTGTTATTAATCAGCAACATACCCTTGAGCCCACAGTTTAACAGCATTAATGTGTTGCTTTTCGCGGGGTAGTGTACTGGGACTGTTTTCTAGATTGACCATGGTCTGGATATCTGTCTGGAACTCCTTGTCCAGATAATAACCTCTCCCGGTTCCAAGTGCATCCAGACCGTTCTTGATCACGTGTCCCATCACTGAAAGAATATGAAATTTAAATACCAACAATGAGTCGATTTTCTCTGGTATGTAAAGATAAGAAAAACTGACAGTTTTAATTACAGTGTATATTTTTACTCTTTTATAACTCTTTGAAAGTTAAATGTGTTGATTTCTTGATAATAAAACTAGTATGTTAATTTCGCCAAGTGAAAGATCGATTGCGTGATACGCATGTCAGTCTCGTGCGGCTGTCTTTGAGTCTGACGTCAATGGGTGGGGACTATTGGATTTGACATGGGGGTCTCGTGTAAGTGTATTTTGAATCTATATTTATTTAGCAGTGTTTAAAATTTGTATATGCACAATTTTAATTTACATGTAAATGTAACGGGTAAGTGTAATGAATCACTTTATCACCTGTTATGTAAATTATCTCATGTTTCCAACTATCTTTGATGTCCTGTCGTATCCAATAAACTAAACAGCGATCCATTAAAACTTACCGAAGTTAGGGTCAGCGGCGATCATATTTTCCACAGATTTTTCCAGTCCTCCTAGACTATCGTCGTCGTACCACCCGACATACTGGACAAATAATGCCGAGACTTAATTAGTTTGGAACAAATGTTATGGAGACATTACAAATAAACTAAGGGACACGAAAAGTATTAAATTGTTCTCAACGAATTAATGTTTGCCAAGTATACAACACTAATTTTTGGAGATGTTCGATACATATAAGTAAAATGTAGTTAGAGTTAATTAAACTTTAAAGGTAAAATTAAGTGTACATTTATGAATAAAAAAGTTTTTTCTCACCTGAGTCAAAACGGCATCAAACAATTTAGCGGCGTCATTGCTAGTGGTGGAAAGACCAACACCAAAATCACTCCATGCCTTTTGGGGAAAAAAGAAACTTTTTAAACAAATTTTTGAAAAAAAAAAATGCGAAATATGTTTGTTCGAGTAACATGAATAAGTTTACCCGCATAACGTTTTAGTTTTTCATTCGTTTAAGAAATAAAGTCCGCGTTTTCGTGAATGTTGCAGGATAACCTCCGAGGTCGAGAAATGTTGTTTGAAAGATAAAAGCCGAGGCGTTAGCCAAGGCTTTTATATTTCAAACAACATTTCTCGACCTCGGAGGTTATCCTGCAACATTCACGACAACAAGGACATTATTTCTATTCTACAAAGATCATGAAGATCGCTAAAATACGCCTGATCGTTTCCTCTATACAGAAACGAAATAGGTTACCATGTCTCGATTACGCTGTTCCATTTAACACCAGAGGGAAAATTTGCTTGTATATGTGTATGGAATTCAGACAATTTGAACTTTCGTTGCATTAGAAATAGCCTTTTTAAATTTTTAATTTGTTTCTTATATGTATTGATTAATTTTTATGAGTATACAATAACATAACCATGTTCCTTTTTAACTGCTTTATTGGTGTTTAAATGTGTAGGGAGGTCCGTGGAATAGCCCCGCTTAGCTATAAAAACCGACATTCATCAGCAATTTGATGCAATTTACAGTGTTCAGACTGCAAAAGACGACACATCTATGTGGTCTAAAGAAGTATTTCATTTTAGAGACAAATACTTATTTTAACTGTAGAGCTTTGACACGAGTTTCTGATCTAATAATTTTTTGATGACGTTCGTGATTTATTGGAAAATTATAATGTCCGCGGCATTTCTTTGATGTTTGCGATAATCGTGGTAGAATTTTCAATAATTTCGATAAATTGATAGAATATCGGAAACAATTGGACCCTTTAATAAATAGGGTTGATGCAAGAACAAAGAAAAAACAAAAATACGGAAACATCAGAATTTGGTCCCCTACTTTAAAAAAAATACAGCACTGCCGAAATTGTGATTTAAGTAATATATAGAGTACTCTCCTATTTAACATTTTATTTTATCAAATAAAATTTGCAATATTTCATTTGATAAAATAAAATATGTCAGAAAGGACAGTGTCATACAATTTTGTTTCAAATTAAAGCATCAGTAAACGTCAATTACACATGTATAAGAAAGTTTTACATTGTGACTTCGAATTTCATTTATTATACTTTTAAGGTTTATATCATATAAAGAACATGGTGAAAAGACTCCGAGGGTATATCTATTCATATAAAAATTAAGAACTTATGGTTTTGCTAAAGGCCAAGATATTCAAAAATTTATTTTTACAATAGCTTCAAAGCTGCGTGAGGTATAAAGTTAAAACTTTTATAGTTTGTCATAGATTAACAGATAGAAAGTATCACTTTAACAAACATTTAAAAAAAACATATTTTTTGAGAAGAAATATCTAAAACAAAAAATGCATATTTAAAAAGGCACTTGTTTAATGATGTACTTTTAGTGAAAAAACCATCATTGTAGAAATAATATGTTCATCAATGAAGGGCAATTTGGACTTGTATTGTCTCTGGAAGGCTGTTATTATATGTAGGACGTAGACAAGGCCAGGTTCCATAAAATCAATTTACGATGTTTACTTTCGGTTTCAAGTCTTTTAACATTTGGACCAAAAAAAAATTAGGGAAAACAACTTTCCAGAGGCTATCGAAGTCCAACCGTGACTTTCCCAGTATATTGATAAACATATTGATAGTTTGTTTCTGCAATGATGTTTTTCACTAAAAGGATGCACTTAGGTGTATTTTGTAAAAATACATGTTATGCATTTTTTAAAGAACTTCTCTCGATTTGTTATCAAGTGATACTTTCTATCTTTTAATCAACAATATATTTACAAACTGTAACAGTTTTAACTTTATAACCCACTTAGTTTTGAAGGTATTGTAAAAATAAATTTTTGGGCATATTGACCTTTGACAAAAACTTTTAAAACTGACATTTCTTTACGGCCGACCAGGAATATATTCCCAAGTTCACGTTATCATTATAACAAATAGCCACGAACGTGTTTTAAAGGTCCAACAACGTTTTCGTACTTTTTAACTGCATGTGTACTGACCCGAGCCGATAAATGTGGGCCACGCTTGCCACAACCTTGTTTTATGTCTTTTATTTAAAAGTTAAAAGTTTGTTCAATGTTTTGTACGTAGAATTATTAAAATTTTCTTCATTAAATCATCAAACGTAATGCTAAATCATCAACCACTACATGTACTATGACTTCACATGCGATAAATTAAAGGCACGTAACCTTTGCTCCTAGCATATATATTAATTATTATTGGGTCCGTGCGGGACGACCATTTTCCCTTCCATTTCATACAATTTGTGCGTAACTAAGAAAACTAACTTATGACAAACCTGACAATCTCTCCAATGCGTCCGCATGTCTTCAGGAAAAATGTGTGCTACTTTCTTCAACTTCTCAGTAAAGACAGCAGAGCAAAACAAAAGGCCCGCGGACCACAATGCTCACCTGAGTCAATATAACCCTGGTGTTCTTCAGGTTAAAGCTTTCTATGTAAAACTTTTATCCCTGTCAGCGGCTGTTGTGACCCAATTTTAAACCTCAGGTGTAATATTTTTATGCGCCTCGATCGATAGATCCGAGGCGTATATTGTTTTTGTCCTGTCTGTTTGTCTGTCCGTCTGTTGTCAACTTTAACCTTCGCCATAACTTTTAAACTGTTAGAGATAGAGACTTCATAATTGGTATGCTTACTCAACCAATTAAGCTCTTTCAAATGACACCAATGTCGATGACCTTGTGACCTTGATTGTGACCTATATTATATACTAAAAATATCTTTTTCGAACTTTCGCCATAACTTTTGAACCATGAGAGAGAGACTTCACAATTGGCATGCATACTCCACTAATTAATCTTTTTCAATTCACACCAAGCTTCATGACCTTGTGACCTTGACTGTGACCTATATACTAAAAATAGTTTTTTGAACTTTCGCCATAACTTTTGAACTGTTAGAGATAGAGACTTCATAATTGGTATGCTTACTCCACCAATTAAGCTCTTTCAAATGACACCACGGTCAATGACCTTGTTTCCTTGACTATGACCTATATGCGAAAAATAGCTTTTCCGAACATTGTTACTGCCAGGCGCATAGTGTTTCACAAACACATCTTGTTTTAATATACATGTATATATTATATAAGTCTCACACAGCCCCTCTTGCTGGGCCATGATTACAACAAACTTTTAAAATGTCCATATCAATAGTCGTCACATGACACAGTGGTTAAATAGGGTTATTGAACTTATATTGGTGAATATTGGCACAAGTTGGCTGACCCTGTGGCCATGAAATTCACAAATTTTGTTGAGGCATTCTTGCTTATTATAACTATATACTAAGTTACTTTATTTAATACCCAGAGGCCCGTTTTACAAAAGAACTTACGACTAAGGCCAACATTTTATTCTGCGTATAACTTTCTAATTAAAATTATAATAAAATGGTTTTATTCATTTTAAAAGGAATGTAGTGAAATACTTTTACTCTAACAATTTTAAACAGAATCATCCATTTAGCCAAATTTAATAGCCATTCTCTGTAACCACTTAAACTTCGTTGCCACGTATGGTCACCGATTTTGATGAAACTGCACCCATGCTTAGTACTTGACACCAGAAACAAATATCTAACAAAATTTCGTTGCTATGTGTCTCGGTTGCTATGGCAACAGCCGGAAAAGTTTGAAAAATCGAGATTTTCAGCCACTTTAAATCTTGACTGTGGCTTAATAAAAACTAGAAAAAGCAAACAAACCATTCGCACAAAAACATGACACCTTGATGTCACTTATCCTGTAAAGAAACTGTTTAGAATATATCTCTAAGTAAGTGGTAACCAAGGGTACATTTGGAATACATTTAAAATGCTGAAATATGCTGAAAAACACTCCGTATTCACTAATGGTAGGTGTTACATGCTCATACTCAATCAACGACTTAAGAAAAACAATGAAAATGTTTGACCTTAAGTATATAAGTATAAGCAATATTATTCTATAAATAACTTTTATGGTTGTTATGGTAACACAGTGTAACCATGCAAAACTAGTAACTAAGATTGGGTAAATGCTACTGTCTTGAGGAAAAACATGAAAATTCAGGACTGGAAAATATGCATCCTTAGGACCTTGCAACACCAATTGAAAACCATAAGAAAAATTGGGAATAATTGCTACTTTGCAGTGTTACCATGGAAACAAAGTGCCAGTGCTTAAAAGTGAATTATTTTTCGCTGCATTAAGAATTAAATTGCCATTTAATCAAGAAACAAATTAAAGGACTCAGCTTGAATATACTTATTTGTTAGAACTGAAGTTGAATATCATATATTGATAAAATTTGATGAATAAAACAACATTGTTGCTATGGTTACCAAGAAGGGAAAATGTTCGATTTTGTGAACTTTATATCAATATTAAACCCTGTGTGCCAACTTCTTGCATCCACTTAGAGATTGGATGATAGTCAAAATTAAAAGTCAAGTTAGCTGTTAATAAATATCAATCATAAAAGTTTTGGGAATCTACATTTCAGGGTACGTATCAGGTTTTTAAGCATATATTTTCTGCTTATTTCCATAGCAACGCTCTATTTAAAGAATATAATCTGAATTGTTTTTAAATGGGAAAATTTGGAGCACACCAACATCTTATAAAATTGATCATTAGTTTTGAGGAAATGTGCTTTTTTAAAAGATAGGATCAGATTTAAACATACAGAGTGTTACTTTGAAGGCTCTCTGTGGTATAAAAACCTTGGCAACCATTGCCAACCGAAATGAAATATCATATTTTGTTCTTGGTATATCTTTCAAGGCTCTTTTTTCTATTATTTGGTCACATTTCATCCTATGATTGCTTTTTATTTCTACGTTAATGACTTTCTAAAATTCATTATTTTTATTACTTTTGAATATTTTGTTACCATAGTAACGTATGTAATAGTTGATTTACCAAACATGTTTATCATGCATTTGAGACATCTGACCTTCAACTTTTGGAAACAGTCATTGCCAATTGTTTGCTTTGCCGCAAATGTTAACTATGGGTCTCTAAACATGTTAAAAAATGCCATTTTTCGATCTTTAAGACATGTTGCCATGGTAACTATAAAACATAGCAACCAATTTTTGCCTGATTTCAGTTTAGGGTATCAATGACTTTTATCATAGAGAGTTTGGAGAAATTCTGAGACTATGCGTGCCACAGCTCCTACATAAAATTTCAAATCATTACAGAGAATGGCTCTTAACAATCAGCTAAAGTTTTTGGTCTTAGTTGCAAGTTCTTTCGTAAAACGGGCCCCAGGAGCAGAGGGGAAGATTTTTGAAGAATTAATGCATTTTCACTATACGATCAATAGAGACCCCCCCCCCCTACACCAGAGGCCGACCCTGGGGCCATAAAATTCACAATTTTCGAAGATGCACTCTTGTTAATCATAATTATGTACTTAAGAAAGTGGGCGCTTTAAATGCGGATTCGGCAGGAATAGTGGCTCATAAAAAGAATAAAAAATTTTCATTGATTTATACATTTTTTTTTCAAAACCTAGCCAATGACTGTGTCGTAGGTGAATGTAAAATGGGCAAATTTTCAGTTAAATATGTTTGGTTTTATTTGAATATGCCCCTGAATATAGCCATACGAGTCAAATGATGCAAAAATTGACATTTTTATAACCGTTTTTCATTTATTTTGTTGTTTCTGGGTCTTCTCTCCACGAATTTTAAATGCGTTATCAGTGTATTTTTCAGCGTAAAATTTATTCCAGTTGTTTAAAAAATGGAGAGACGACCCAGAAATACCAAAATCGAAACTTTTTCTATTTATTTTCTGGTAGAAAATTGACTAAGTCCAATTATATAGGACTTTGGCTTTAAATAATGAGTTAAATACAATCTATAGATAGTGTCCCGCGGTAGCTACATTGGTTTGTCGCTGGATTCGAGCAAGATAGACGCAGCATTTTAGGTTCGAATACAGTGATTTATTTTATTTTATTTTATTTTTTATTTTTGCTTAAAATTTTTGAATTGGTAGTAAAAAAAAATACTCCTTGAATAAAGTTTCAAAGTTATGTTTTATAATTTTTTTTAATTAATTGTTTTATATTTCAATGCGTTTTGTCATTTATAGTGCTAGCGTTCCCAGACAGAAATAAACATTGAGAACTTGTAACTACAAAGTTACACCTGATGAAAAAATATTGAATTAATTTTAAAAAATTAACAACTTCGATCTTTCTATTACATTCATTATTTTCAGTTCATTTGAAAAGTGAGCACAAAAATTATTTAGTGTTAGACTTCTATTATATTCTATTAAATGTATCCAGCATAGATAATTTATCTTTCATGACACCTTTTAATTAAAAAAAAATTATTTACAAATAAACAAACATTAGACGGAAATCCATTCCAATGAAGTTTCTAGGTTCATTGTATAAGATATGTATTAAAACTACTTGGTTCTTGGACATTTAAATCCGAATTGTTTCGTGTCAATGATTCCTGCCGACTGCCCATCTAGTGCGCCCACTTTCTTTAATACCCAGGAGCAGAGGAGAAGATTTTCAAAGAATTATAATCAATAAAGCCTTGCCCTAACACCAGAACCCCTGACCCAGGGGCCATGAAATTCACAATTTTTAAAGACTGCATTAATTTTAGGTTTTGGCCCCACCCCGCAGGCCCCAGGGGGGCAGGGACCATGAAATTCACAATTTTTGTCCCCTTTCACCTATAGATGCTGTAAACCAAATTTGGTTGAAATTGGTTCAGTGGTTCTAGAGAAGAAGCTAAAAATGTTCAAAAGTTCACGAAGGATGTACGACAGATAAAAACAAATAGCAATAGGTCACCTGAGTTTACCCAGGTGACCTAATGAAACTTCAACTAAATACTAGAGCATAATAAATAACAACAAAACACAAAGGTTTGAAACGGAAATTTATTTATAAAATGCATTAGTTGATTATTAACTGAATCCAAAGACCCTCTCCTCTGTTTCTTGTAGTAGTAGATGTTTACATGCTTGTTTTCAAAACTTAAATCAAACACAGCAATAAAGTCTGGGTTCCACAACCGGTGAAGTCATCATAGAGTATCCGACTCTCAATGCTTTGTGGAACCGTTTCCATGCTGTGCTCATTATAAAAAATTATATAAACTAAAACAAAAATTCTTGTTTCTTTCTGGAAAGATTAACCCCTTCTCGTTTTTAACCAGGATATAACTAATTTTGTTAATTGTAAAATTTTTATATAAAAATTAAATGAAACGAGAAAGAGTTACAGAAACCAATAACATTTATACAATTTTTATGCGTTGCTGTTTTACACAATATTTTGCAATTTTTTTGATTTTTTTTTTTGTTTTTGTTTGTTGAAAGGAAGCAGTTAATAATCAAACAATCACATTTCATTTTCTGTCAAATAATTTATGCTTTAAAATTATTAGCAAAGAACAATATGTAACCTCATTTAACAATTTCAAAGAATTTTGTCAACAGTCTAGCCAAAAACAGCAACGGATAATTTTGAACCAACCACCAATAAAAACAATTTTAAATGTGATGTTCCTTATTTACAAAACACTCCAGCTGTATATATATATATCAGATTGGTGTACTATGATGTTGATGTATTGAATTGTCATGTTTCTATTTACACCCATCTCTAGTTGTTGGTAGACGTTTCACCAGTTTATTCTGGTTTAGCAGTTGTAGCTGTTTCTTTAGCTTGGTGAGCTTGCAAGACAGCAACAGCTTCCTTCACCTAAAAGGTAAAGAGAATTTAATATCAGAGCCCCTATAAATGAAAATACCTGCATATAAAGCTTTTTATCGGAAATGACACAAAAATTGGATGCCTGATTGATATACAGTTGAACTTTGTCATCTTTGAACCATTATCTCTAATACCAGGTACTAGTACTAGTCCATTGTTTATAAATCTAGATTATTCAAAACTTCTAATTTCGGAAGGGAGAAGGAGGATGTTATTTTTCTATTCTGCAGTGTGGTGGTAGACAATTTAATGCATCATTGTAGGGTGGTGTTTACAAATTAAAGATTTAAAATTGAATATATAGATCTATTACAGCAAAATTGGGTTATAACAAAGTCAATGGGATGTTTGAAACTACTTTGCTATATCCGAAATTTGTTATAATCATGCATTGGTTAAATTTATGTAGCTGGGGATCCAAGTTGACTTCCCTATATCCATGTTCGTACTAAACAAGTTTTACTGTAAAACCCTCACCTTGATGAAATAAAGTCCAATTCTTATTTCTTTCATTGTTTGTTTTTTATTTAACAGTATGTTTACCTTAGCCTCTAGCGACTCCTGAGATTCCAACATGTGCAGCAGCTCAGAGTTGTCGATTTCCAGCAACATGCCAGTGATCTTTCCTGCCATGTCTGGGAACATAGTGGAGATGAGAGGGAACAAGCGCTCTCCCAACATCTGTTTCTGCTCCTGTGGTGGAGCGGTGGCCAACATGGTGGCAGTAAGTGGATCCTGTCCCTGGACAATCACAGCTTGTGGTGGAGTCTATGATAAATTTTACAATGTTTTTAATACAATCTCCCAGTCTGTTAAAAAAGCAATCAATCAACTCAATTCCACACTATTAGAACATTATTTACAATCTTTTGACTGACCTGCTGCATTCCTGGATTTTGTCCTTGATGCTGCTTCATCATATGACCAGCACTGTATCCCTTGTAGCCTGCCTGGCGGTTTGCGGCTGCCGGCACACTGGGTTGTCCTCCCTGGGGGCGTCCAGGCACCTGCTGACTGACAGGCATGCGCTGCTGTGTGTTTGGTGTTCCTGACTGACCAGTGATGGGACGAGCGCCTACTCCAGTACGTATGTTGGTCTGACCTGTGGGCCTCTGCTGTCTCATTTGTGGAGCTCCTGGCATGGTCTGGAATCCTACGAGATGATTGGAAATTATAAATCTGTCCTCTTAGTTTCATCTTTGATATCATGATTAAATTTTAAATCTAAATTGTATTTTTTTTTTGTGGGGGGGGGGGGGGGTGTAAAGCCAGTTATCCCCTTACCACTTGCAGGCTGACCGGTTGGTCTTACAGTTGTTGTCTGCCATCTTGGATTAGTTCTCATGGTTGGCATGTTATTGGGAGCATAGAATCTCTGAGTTTGAGGCATTGTTGGGACAAAGTATCCAGCCCCACCTGGTTGGAACATCTGGCTGACCTGTCCCATTTGTTGTCCCTAAATTAATGAATTCCATGTGTTTATCTTGCAAATTTTTTATGGCATACAGAAATTTCTAACATTTTTTTTTCTTTCAGACCTTTGCATAATATTGAACCCAGTCCATTACAAGTACACGTTAATTCAAGGCTGCAATTCTTGCTTACACATTAAATTATCTGGATGTTTCAAAATAGATACTTTAATCTTACCTGCATTCGCATGCTTGTAATACGCTGCATGTACTGGGAGGCAAGGTGAGCCTTACGGTCCTCCTTCCTCTGAGCTAAAGCAACATACAAGGGCTTTGCCACCACAATTCTTCCATTCATTTCAGTCACAGCTTTGGTAGCTTCTTCAGGGGAACTGAAGCATACAAATCCAAAGCCTTTGGATCTGCCTCCCTCTGACATGACCTGAAATCACATTGATAATTTTTAATAACCATACCCAACACTGAACATAATAAAAGAACATTAAAAGTTTTTATAATTGTAAGCACCCATATAATGCCATGTCATTTCTTTAGACTTGGCACAAAATTGGTTAGGTGCTAGTAATTTCACCCATGCTAGGGAGGGGTCAGTCTAAAAAATTCCTAACCCCAGGGTACTGGGTTTAAAATTTGAATGATTTACAGCTGAAGTGCATGTATAGTTTTAAAAGAAGAGAAATGGAACCTTTTAACCTATATAATCTTTTATTCTCTATTTATTACTGATCCGAAAGTCTGATGCTATTCCAAATGCCAAAAACAATTTCGAGACTAAAAATTAGCAATGCAATTACCAAAATAGAGACCTATGATAATCTTATTCATAGTTAAAAAGTATGACAAAAATTTAACTCCTTACGTTTCTTACAGCAGGATCAAAAACGTAACAACATTTATATTTATTTGTAACACAGTCCATAGTCCATATCCTAAAAAAATATTTGTTGTTACTTTTAGAACAGATGAAATTTCATGGTATAACTCAAATCCAATATTCCCAACAGAGTGGGTATGTTTGTAATTCCCCACAAACAACAATTTTTAGAAGAAGAATCGAAAAGTCTAATCTTAACTAATTCACTTGAAAAAAGTTTTTTCTCTATAAATTTGATTATTCTTGATAGAAGAGCATGCTTTATGTAACTGCATCAGTATGACAATGGCTAAGGACTGTAGCATCTTCAATATACTTGGTAGATATAACGCACCAAGCTAGCTATTGAGAGAAGCATTTCATTTCACCCACCTAGGGAAGGGCTAGTCCACGATGAAATCTAACCCCGGTTACTGGGTTTGTAAATTACACTTATTTCAAATCTATCATCAGAAGATGTTTCCGTATTATATGCTTAATGATGACCTTGCTATTCTTAAGAAAGGATTTTTTAAGATTTCTACATATTTCTTTGTTTTACTTTGATAGCTTACTGGGACCTCAGTCTACCCCCGAGGGTCCTGATTTGAACAATGTGAATCTACTCTACAAGCTTTGCTCCTCTCAAAATTTTTCCTATATATTCATAAAATAAATGTACATTTGTGGCCCTACCGTGATTTGAATTTTATCTATGTAATGAAGCTTTAACATTTGTTTTATCTTTACCTGTCCAGTACTAATTGAAGCAGTGTTCAAAATTAGTGCCGGTTTTGTCGCAGTTCAAACAGGACTCTCTAAAGTAGTATGACTAAATGGGTCCTTTGCATTCCTTTACACTGACGATAGTTTGTTGGGAGATAAATTGGACATAGGTTTATGCATTTACATTATGTTGTACTTGTTGTATACTGTATATCTTTCCTGCATTTTGGTTGGATAATCAAATAAAATGACTAACAAGTCTTTAAAGGAAATTAGATTTGAGATAGATAGTTATTTTTATCATTTATTTTAATCTGCTTTTTCATAAAGAATATACTTATTTCTGAACTTTTTTTTACACAACCAAGTAAAATTCTGTTCGAGACCAAGACTTGCGGAGATAACCAATAAAGTTTATAGTACCAAAAATATTTCACGCTTTCATTTTGGGGCCTAGGCTGCATTAAAACTTGTATACGAGGGGTGATCAAAAAGTTCGCAAACTAATTGAATAACTTCCATACAAGAAACAATATTTGGTTTTAATGTTGATTATATTTTAAATTAATCCTCCCCGATTTTAATGCACATCAACCACCGTTCTGCGCATGCGCGAATCACGTGATATTGGCGGTTACGTGACCCCCTCCGTAGCCTTCTGTCACAAAAGTTGAAAGATTTTTCCGAGTTTTATATTTCTTTCCATGTGAGTTAATTTTTATGACAAGAACAGTTAATTTGTCAGAAATGGTCATATCTCGGCAAGAATGGGTGGACATGGCGACCTTTAAAACACAAATCTTCTGTCTCAGGAGAGACCTTTATTCAAGGTGGATAAAATGGGTGCATCCTTTTTATCATATCTAATATGTTTAAAATCTAAAGTAAACGATATCTTAGGTATTTAATACTTATATCATTGTTCAAATATTCAACTATTTTTCAAAGAGCTAATTGGAGGTCTTTGATAGCAAATTGCTTAATTAAAAATACATATCTTTTCAAACTTGCTTTCACTGGGCTTTTTAACCATCAGCCTTCCTTCACTAAACGATTAATCCAATCATTAATTGAATTTATAGGAACTCATTTATCTCAATAAACTGTGTACAAATTATTATATGAAACTGTAGAGGGATTTCAAAGATATTACAATAATTTGTACAGTCATTTGTTGAACGAGTTCGACTGAGACAACCATTTTTCGTCACAAGTGACCCAAATAGTGACGTCATTTTCACATTGTGACAAACAAGGAGAGAAACTTTATTCAGAATGCTATTTATAGACCTTGTGTATGGCTATGTGTGTACCGAATTTCATTCTAATCTGAATTGTGGTTTTGTAGATATAGAGATAGTTTACGAACTTTTTGATCACCCCTTGTAAAACCTTTTTTCTGTGGGTCCTTTGGATCCATATAAAATTATTCTGAAGTCTGTCTTTTCATCTTCGAAGATACATGTTAGACAATTTTGAAGAGGATTTACAGGGAAAAAAAATCAAATTGGTTTTGGGATTCATGTATATGCCAGATGTTTATCGTGTTCTTCAATTATATGATTTAATAAACATTCAACATGCATGCACTGCTTCACTGATGAAATATCACATCTTACCTTGGCACTGGTAATGGTACCAAACTGAGCAAATTCTTTTCGTAATCTTTCATCATCAATGTTGTCATCAAGGTTCTTTACATACAGGTTGACTCCCTGGTACCTATTAATTCTTTCCATCCTGATGCGTTCAAACTTCTCTTTTAGCTCAGCCTGGCGCTCGATTTTCTTCTGAGCACGTCCCGCATACAGCACCTTTCCACTAAACTCATTTCCATTCAGTGCATCAACAGCCTAAAAAATCATGATGTTACTGTTTTCACTTTTCATTAAAAATGTTTGTACAGAGCAAATTATCCTTCAATACTTATTCCAATTTACTGGGTCACTAAAGCAGAGAATAAAGCTTATATCCCTTGAATCTGCAGACTTGTTGAAATTTTTAAATCACTGTCTGACATATGGTCTGGCAAAAACAAATGTTCTGTCAGACTATTCAAAGTTTTCTCAGACCAGATACATATACCTTATTATGACACTGATAAAGGAATGTTAATAAAGCACCAAAATTCCCTTTCTAATTTTCAACAGCCTTCTATCTAAAAAATTTTCTTTCTTGGGATAGAGTGTCTTTAACATGAACATAAATAATGTTTTATGACTTTGCTATAACACATTAAATCGACCATCGTCGACTCGCCTTATACACAGCCATCTTTTGTGTGTTTGTGACCTTAAGTTGCGCACAACGATCCCAACTTTTATCAAATTTTCATCATGCTTGATTTTTTTCAAATGGTTATCTGGACCGACATCTTCAAAAATGTTATCAGTCCAGACAATTTTTTTACCCGCCTTGCTGACAGAACTGGTGGATTTTGACAAGTCTGTTATGTCCTAAATGCTCGAAAAGTATTAACTATTAAGTTCTCTATGTCAAATTATGTGCTTACCTTCTCAGCAGCCTCTGGATCTTCAAAGCTAACAAATCCAAATCCTCTACCTTTTCCTGAGGAATCATCGGTCATCACCTGCAAAATTATTGGCCAGTTTTAATATGAGTTCATGATCACAATGACAAAAAAAAATTATGAAACCATGTATGCATCCAGGGTTCCTGAAAAAATTTTCTATGAGGCATATAATTGATTGTGTCACATCAGATGATGCTATGTGCAACTTTATTTTATGCCTTTAAGATCCATAATCTTTACCCATTACTACCAAAAATCAACGACAAATCTGACCGTACTTCAGCACATATGAAATACTTTTATCAAAAGCAAATTCATAATTGCATTTATTGACCAGTCATTCTTATTATTACACTAATTTTTCGGATTCATGACTCAGATTCTTACATAACAAAGATTACTCAATACATGGATCAAGACTTCTAGATGATCAGAAATAGCAATGGAATCACAGGATTTTCATAGCCCAATGCTCAGTTCTCATCAAATCATCATGGGATTCCACATCTAATATTTTTTAAACCAAAGTTTATTTCCTTGCAATTCCACAAGAGTTAAGGTGAAGTCATCATAGTTTTAAACATTCTTAAATTGAAAGAGTGCTTAGTGCTCACAGTACCTCTCTTCTTCAGTTGACTTACTTTAGCACTGATGATCTTGCCATAAGGTTCGAACATTTCCCTCAGTTTTTCATCATCAATTTCTTCACTGAAGTTTTTCACATAAACATTGTTGAACTTCCTCATCTTGTCACCAAGCACTTCAAGCCTTTCTCGCCTGCTCATGAATCGGCCTACAAACCTGTAACATCACGGGTTTAAATTTTTAAAAAGTTTGATGAAGAAAAAAAAAGAGTCCTATTTGCTGGTGAAATCGTAAAGTCCTATTCTGAAAAATGAAATAGAATGATAAACAAAAACTCTTAAAATGACGAAAACTCTTAAAATAGTCATATCTTACACTCTATGGTTTCAACAATTTTAGATTTAATTTGTTAACTACTGCAGTAAATTATAAATTCAGCCTTATTCTGGCAGGAGTTGAGATTGCTCTTTGTATTAATGATTAAATCCTTCAGATGGTCAGATAAAGCAATGGAATCATAAGCTTTCATAGCCCAATGCTCAGTTTTCATCATTTCATCTAGTCAGGGGCGTGATGGAAACAAGATTTAATAACTCACTTGAGTTTACTTCACTTATTTTTGACTAAACAGATAATTAACTTATTCAAAATAATTCTCTTAAAATTAATATGCCCATCAATTAAAATAAAATGTATTTGCCACTGAATAAAAATAAGGTTTTGTTGAAAAAAAGTTGTAAATAGATATACTTTGCTTGACAGACTATCAAAAAGTAGCTGCACGGCCCAGCAGAGTACTTACACTTTCTTTCCATTCAGCAACATGCCATTCACCTTCTCAATGGCACTTCTGGCAGCTTCTTCAGTCTCAAAATGTACAAACCCATACCCTCTGGACCCATGTTCGTCACACACAATCTGAAAGGAAACATTCAATTTAGGAATAAAGAAATAGATCTAACATCATACTATCACTGCAAAAACTATGATCAGAAAATATTCACAGAAGTTCATTTATTTGCAAGAATTTTTTGTAATATATGTATACATGTCCATATAATGAACATAGCGTAATCTTGTATACCTTGCAAGACAAGATATTGCCAAATGCAGAAAATGTATCATAGAGAGCTTTGTTGTCAATACTCCTGTCCAGATTCTTAATGAAGACATTGCCAACACCAGACTTTCTAAGGGATGGATCACGCTGGGACCACATGATCCTGATTGGTCGTCCCTTGATGGTGTCAAAGTTCATGGTATCTAAAGCTCTCTCAGCTGAAATGAGACACACCAATTTGTTCATATTAAGACATATAAACAAATAATTTCTTCTCAAAAGCCACGTTATTGACAATCATTTGCAGCAATTTGCTTTTTATTTTTAGTCTGTGTTACATCTGTACATTTACAATATTCCATATGTTTCTTTAGCAAGACAAAAAAATGACCTTTATGTACCAATTAATATCTTCCAAAATCCATGCTGCTGTACATCTAGATATGTTCATGAAATGTTAAGCCTTCCAATTCCAAATATATTCTCAAGTCCACAAATTTCATACCAACTTGACTACTGCTTTATCTGATTATTCATGTTAGGATTGATGCTTTTGTTTTTAAGTTTTACGACTGCAATTACTTACCATCAGCAGGCTGTTGAAAGTTGACGTACGCATACCCCAGGGATCGCCTCGTGATCATGTCTCTGCATACACGAATGCTGAGGACAGGACCAGCCGTAGAGAACTTTTCAAACAACATAGCTTCGGTGACATCTGGGTGAAGGTCCCCAACATATAAGGAAGCCATAGGGTAGCTGGGACCAGCTGGGTTCATATTAGCATTAGACATGTTTCTTCCTTTTCTTCAAACAATATGGCGCTCGAGTATTGCGTTATGTCGTTGGAGACTTGGTGTTGAAAAAGCTGATTAAAAACTTACCGTTTCAAACCTTTTTTTGGTATTTTAAAAGTTTTTCGTATTTTTTTGTTGTTTTTTAAAAAGTTTTTTAGTTTTTTTGTCCACTTTTTTCCGTGGTGTGTGATTTAAAATATTACACACAACACTATCTTATGACCTCGCGTGGAGAGAAGAGGGACTCAAAGGAAGTGACGATAGTAGTGCTCTATATATTAAATGTAAAGCGGAAATGATTACGCATAAAAATAGTTCTTAGATAAACGTTTATTTGCGCTATAATTTACCTTCAACATTATATTATAATAAAGTGGTTGATAAAACAAAGGTAAAACAACTGTATAATGATAAAAATGCCCCATCAATTCTTTTCAAAATTCGCTTTAGATTCGAATCACTACACCGTGACGTCAACGCTCATTTACACAAACCGGGAAATTTAACATGGTTAATACGTGGCGATTTCTCATTTCTGTAATATTGCCCCTGGCCCCGGAAATATTGAAAGGAAAGGAAAAAAAAAACATCTGTCAGGATATTTTCCGTAAAAGAAATTTTGTCATGCTTAAACATCATGATTCCTAAAGCATTTTGTATTTGATTTGAAATTTAATGTGACTTTTAGTGAAATTATATTCTTATGTAAAGTAAAATAATTATATATGTTTGCAGTTATAAAGATATCTAGATGATAAGTATAAGTGAAAAACGCGCTGTATTATGCTCCAAATTACTGATTTTATTGATCAAAAATATTTATTTATTGCATGTTTGTATTTTTTCTTCTGTTTCGTTAATCTTTAAAAAAAATACAAAGGGGAATAAAAGATTGCTACTATAAATCTTTTTGAGCCATTCATAATACATTAATGAAATAGTAATTTTTGCGGAAATTAAGTCGATTTAAATGAACAAAAATACTGAAAAGGTAGTTTGTACATTAATTGATTGTATGTAGACCTTATTATACAACACAACGGGGAATTTTAGATATGGAGGTAATAAAGATAGCATTTTCAAGAATAAAGAATTACTGAAATTTTTGATTAATTTTTTGCTTTGGCATGCATATAAATTATAATGTAATGGAAAATGTAAAATCACACAAGCACGCAGAAGAATATATACATGCAAGTTAGAAACACTATCATTGTTGTCTTGAAAAAATAAGACATAATAAAGCAACTGACTTAATTTACTTTAATACTGATTTAATTTTTCCCAAAGCTATTCTAAGAAATATATACAAATTAAGTGTATCATAAAATCTTGGATGAATTTCAGTCTTGTTTTAGAGGACTTTTTACTACTGAAACTTGTTTAGTCCAGTTGTATAATTTTATACAAGGAAATACGTCAAAGGGTTTATTTAAGGAATCACTGTCTAGTTCGTATAGTATGCCAGGGCATCAACGATAGTGGGAAACATGGGATAATTTGCATAACGGGCGAAGCCCGTTATGCTTAAATTATCCCATGTTTCCCACTATCGTTGATGTCCCTGGCATACTATACGAACTAGACAGTGATTCCTTATATTTCCGTTTCACTGTGAAATAAAATTGTATATTTATATTTTTAAAATGTTGACATAGATTTAAACTACATGAAGACTCCCTTGCCATTTTCCATAGCCCTCTCCCACTGACGTCAAACACAATTGCAGCCGCACGAGATTTTCATGCATATTTGGCATCCTTCGCCTCAGACACAGAGACAGATGCGCACGAGATTTGCATGTATATTAAGCCTCCCCAACTCCCGACCTTTCGACCTGCCTAATTTACATTCCGACAGGTTTATCAAGAAATTAACTCCGCTAAATTTCAAAGAGTTATCACAGAGACAAAAATAAGAAATGGAAATATATACAGGTATGGCCATGTTGGACCTTCAAAAGGCTTTTGATACTGTATATCACGAAATTTTATGTAGAAAACTTAATGCCATTGGATTAAGAAATACAGACTGGTTTAGATCTTACTTGTCTATATATAATAGAAAGCAATTTGTACAATTAAAAAAATGCTATGTCTGACCCAGGTACAGTAAAATGTGGGGTACCTTTGAGGCGCCGTTTTGGTATTTACTGGCGAAAAGTGATGTCACCTGTTTGAATAGGTGATATCACTCATTCGAATAAGTGATATCACCTATTTATTTTCAATAGGTGATATCACCTATTTGAAAAGGTGATATCACTTATTCGAATTGGTGATATCACCTATTGGAAATGAATAGGTGATATCACCTATTCGTGCTGAATAGGTGATATCACCTATTTAAATTGAATAGGTGATAACACCTATTTGATAAGGTGATATCACCTTTTCGAATAGGTGATACCACCTTTCAATTTGAATAGGTGATATCACTTATTCGAATAAGTGATATCACCTATTCGAAAGGAATAGGTGATATATATCACCTATTCGAATAAGTGATATCACCTATTTGAGTAAGTGATATAACCTTTTCGAATAGGTGATATCACCAATTCAAATGAAATAGGTGATATCACCTATTTGAACAGGTGATATCACTTATTCGAATAGGTGATCTCACTTATTCGAATAGGTTATATTATCAATTGAATAGGTGATATCACCTATTCGAATAAGTGATATAACTTTTTTGGCAGTAAATACCAAAACTGCACCCATTGGTACCACAGGCAATATTTTAGTCCCTCTTGGTACTATATTTTTAATCTATGTCAATATTATGGCTTCCAGTATATTGATCCTGACTGCAAACGTATTTCACATGCTGATGAAAGTGCACTCAAATTCTCATATAAAAAGCATACTAGTATTTTTCTCTGCTGTATTACATGTACTGAAGTATCTACTCAAATGTATGATACATATAGAATACATACGTCATCTCATTGATTCAATAATTTATACAGTATATTACATGACGCTTTTTTAAATATAAATCCCCCATTTTAGTACTTTAAGATTTTTAAAAAGTACATCCAAACGAAGTAAAATTTTACTGAGATGTGAGCATTAAGGCTCGTGTGAGCTTTTCTGAACAAAGAATGTCCGATGTCTGTCTGTCATCTTTAAACTTTTCACATTTTCGATTTCTTCTATAGAACCACTGGGCCAGAATTTTCAACCAAACTTACAACAAATCATCCTTTGGTGAAGGGGATCAAAGTTTGTTTACAGGAAGTCCCGCGCCCTCTTTCAAGAGGAGATTATTAAAGCATTCGTCAAATTTGGGTGGCGTCTTTTAAAAATCTTCTTCTTTTAAAAGAGTCACTAGGCAAGAAAAAAATGAAACTTGTTTGAAAGCTTTTTTACATACTTTAGATTCAAGTTTATTTATATCGTGATCCCCGGGTGTAGGATAGAACCGCAAGAGAGAGTCGAAATTTAACATAGGAATTTATAGGAAATGTATTTTTTTTTCAAATTTTCTTCTCTAGAACAGCAAAGCCATAATAAGTCATATTATAATAGAAGTATCCTCAGGCAGTCTAGATTCACATTTGTTCCATTCATGACCGCAAGGGGTAGGACAGGGCCACAATAGGGGGCTAAACGTTTTAGTTTTATACAGATGTAGTGGTTAAAGGGCATTGGGATAAACGCATTGAAGACCTCAAATAATGGAAGGTCCTGACAACCCTTGGAATAGACTAGCCAAATCGAAGGGTATATAAAGGAAAGTTTAGGTAAATTGAGGCAGTCAGACGCAATAGAAAGAAGCTGCATGCCGTATAAGCAAGAAAGAAGTAAGGTATTCCATCCTTAATAGGAAAGAACTCAATGAAATTTAGTGCATATAATAGGTGTTCAAATGTATAATACTCAGTTTATACCATGTAAGAGTGGGATGTGTCCTAATTTATGGCCTTGAATTTTGGTAAGGGTTATCTCCCTCTCTTTAATTAATTTTGAAATCTCATCTGGTTAAAAAAGTGTTTTCAAATGTCATTCGATTTTAATGCATCTTTCCACCACAATATTTATTTACATTCTTATTATTTGAATTTTCATTTAAAAAAAAAAAACCTTTAACCATCTTTAAAAAATGTTTGGTTGCCCTCTCCCAACCGACTGGCTAAACTGGCACTACTCAAAACTTTTTTAACCAAGCAAATATTATTTAAGTACTCTGGAATATAGAATTTATAAAAAGCATTGAAATTTTCTGAGAAAAATAATTACTTACATACCGACTCAAGATTTTCAAACCGAGTCGGTTGAGGGCAACCAAACACTTTTTTTAAGATGGCCTTGTCCCAATAGACTTCAATGCAATTTTTTTTTCATTAATTACTAGTACTGCTTGGTTAATTACATTTTTGAAACTTTCTTTTGGTAATTTTTTTTTACTGTGAAATGCTTGTTTATAGGAAGTATCTTTGAAATCTTCTCAAGAACAAATAAGCCATTATTAGTCATACAGAAGCAATTTTAGGTACTGTAGAATCAAGTTTGTTCAAATTATGTTCAAGTAACAGTAAACACTTCTTGAACATCTTTCATCTCTGTTCAAAAGGGGTCAGTTATGTAAGTTTTACATAAGAAAAATGATAGGAATCATCTTGAAAAAAAATCAAATTTTGCTCAGAACATCAGAGCCATGTTGAGTCATATAATTTCAGAAACATCCTCAGGTAGTGTAGATTCAAATTTAGGGTGGAACCACAATAAGAGTTTACGCAGGAAAACATTATTAAGATTGACTGTATGTTGTTTTACATCCCGTTCGAGATTTTTTCACTCAAACATAATGGGACTTCACCATATAGCGACGAAGGGCTTCAAATTTAATTCATCCGAGGAACCCGCAACTTTCACTTCATAGTGTCGAGCGCCGACTGAGAACGGTTTCTCTTTGTTTTCGACCACGAACCCGCGATCACAGAGCGAGGGCTCTACAGAATGAGCTACAGTGACGGTGGAAAACATAAGAAAAATCTTTAAAATTCTTCTGTTTAGGAACAGTTATGTCTTAATTAGTAATGTTGAGAAGGGAGCATTCTGAGGTAGTGTAAATTAAAGTTTGCCCCCTCCTTTGTTCAATACTGAACTGATTTCTTCTTTCTAGCCACCAGTAATGATCTTAGGTGAGCAATGTGGCTCATTGGCCTTTTGTTTGCATTTGGCGAGTATAACATTTCTTATGAACCATCTGTGTACTTGCTTGGAAAATTGACAGCTTGCTCAGACCACTGTCTGTCACTCTACCAATACCATGATCCATATGAAAGGATATGCACTTTTTGCTAGTAGTTGTATATTCTACAGGCACTTATTTTGTATACGGGACACCCCTTCTTATTTTTAACACAAGTAGGGATGCCATGTATACGAAACATAAGTGCCTGTGGTATATCCTGGTGGTTTATTGATATCATCTCCGAAAACTGCTTGCGATCATTGTATTTAAATGTTTTTCATTTTAACTAGAATAAGCAAAAAGAAAATCGGACAAGTTTTCAAATGGAGCAAATATATAATTGGGCTTATTGATAGTTGATACATGCATATTGAATTCCATTGCCAACCTCAAAGTATCATGATATGTGGCAAAATGTTTTTTTTTCAAAACCTGGACAAAGTGACTTGCTTATTTTTTTTCTATATTTTCAGTTAACTTTAGGAGAAACTTGAAATGCATAGGAGGATTCTTATGAAAGCCAATACATGTATTGCATTTTTTATCATCAACTTGCCTGTATGTCTACGTTAAATGTAGGGAAAAAAATTAATGAAACAATGATATCATCAAAAAATTACTATTTCGTAAACTCTGTGGTCGAATTAATGACGTTTTCAAGAAATATATTCTAAAATTAAGTCGAATCCCGACTGACGATTTTTTTAAAATTATTTATATTATCATTATCATTATTATTAATTAATAATGTCGAAATGTTCTCTTGACAAAGTGACTACATTTAGTACAGATCCTCTTGAAATATAATCAAATAATTTGATATCAGGGTAAACTAAATTATTCTTCTGAATTATACCTATAATTTTATAAATCAATAGAATCGAAAAGTAATAAAAAGAAATAAGAGAAGTCTGGTAACTGGAATGGATTGCTGCTTGCTAGTAAATAACACAATGTCAATTCCAGCACTGCCCGTATTTAGATTCTTTTATTTAAAACTAAACAAAAAATATATTCGAATCTTAAAGATTCGCGTTCGAATTATCAAAATTGCTTGACAAATAAATGAATACTTAATATCCCTAGCAATGACATAAACAAAATAAGAAGAACATTGAACAAAATAAAGATAAATATAAATAAAGAAGTTAAGTAAAAATGAACATCGAAAAACTTCATTTTAGCTCATTATACATGTATTTATGCATATAACAACATTTCTTTATGAAAGACATTTTAAACAGTACATTACATTGAATTACAACATACCAATAAACTTGTGTGAAGCATTCCACAATTACAAAATTAAAAATTAATAATCTTTACAAAGTACATTCACGAGTTTGTAGTTGATACTTTCACAGAAAGTTATCAAAAATGAATCTTAATCTCTTTCTTCCAGTGAATCGTCGCTAGAAGTAGATGACGAGTCACCACTATAACGGTTTTTGCTAAAATGGCCCCGAGAGTCTGACTCATTTTGTCGAAAGTTAGGATTCCTTCTCTTTTTATTTTTTTTATTTTCCATGCGTCGTATGAACGATTCATAAAATCTGTATCGCTTCCTTAAAGTTCTTTGCAAAAATTGCCTCTTTTTAATAACATTTTTAGACAATCTTGTAGTTTCCCTTGAATTGTCTATCGACTTCTTGTCTTCATATTTTTTCAGCTTTTCTACAAGCCATCGTGTTTTAGACAATTTAATGTGGTCACATATCTCTAGATCTAGCCACAACATAACGAAAAGCTTCCCTAGTTTATCTTCTTCAGAAGAAATGTTCTTCTTTTGAATTTCTTTCCCTATATTTATCATAATTCCCCTATAAACTGGATACAATTTGACAGAACAAGGCATTTTTCTCACATTTTCTTTAAAGAAGGAATCCAGTATTTTTTCTAAATCATCCTGACGACCGTAGATGTTATTGTCTTTAACGTTTAATCTTTGTTGGTTTGAATTAACATCGAGAGATTCTGATTGACTGGTGAATTCAGAAGTTTGTGATGTGTAAGAATCATGTAACACAGACATGAACGGATGCTTGAACCTTTCTGTGATTGAATTCGTTACCCATGCTGGAACATTCCTCTCGCCAGACAACACTGTTGGTGCTATGATAATATCTAAATGATCTACCACACTTTTCCTTTCAGAGAGTTCGTCTTTTAAAAGTATTCCAAAACTGTCAAAGACGTTTGCTCCTTTAGAATCTTCCTCGGTTGTAGTAGGAATGTCACTATTTTGCATAATTCGAATTAAACTGTTGTCATCTGTGTTCTTAAAATTTGGAACAAAGTTTTGTTTGATCCGTCGAATAGCCTCTGCCAATTGTAATCCAGAGTGTAAAGATGATGGAGAGAGCTGTGGTTCAAGATCAACATGTAGCCGGTCCCTGACGTCTTTGGTATTATTTATTGATGGAGCCACATCAGAACCATGCCTTAGACGAAATGTTCCGATGTTATTAGCTTGATTCTGTGACGGAATGCTTTTAAAAGATGTTGAAACACTTTTTGGTCGCAAATTCACTGGTGACATATTTTTGTGCTCTATAAATCTTTTCAGCATTGGAGAGAGGTCGCCGAAAGTATGACTCTTTAAAAATGTGCCAGGGACATCATTGGGATTTTGGCATAGAATTCCAATGAAAAATCCAATCTATAAATATAAAAATTGATTTAAATAAAGTTTAAGTTTACAGTTCAACGCACTTTTTAAACTCACATGGTTTTTTGCACAAATTAAATGCACATTTTTCTTGCAATAAAACTTAAAATTATCGAGTTTCAGCACGAGACATAACCCTTATATTATTAAAATTTCATGTTAAAGGTGCATATTCTCTAAAATCTTAAGTTTTAAACGTCAATGTTCTAAAAGAAAATATGTTTATAAATTGTATGATGTTAAATGTTTATGGTTTTATCGTAGGTATTTACAAATTAATTAATCGAACTTTTTTTGAAACTATTTGGTTGAAATGTTCAAATTGACTTCTTACAGATGAGTATTTTTCCAGGTACTTTGCACATTTTCCATACTTGTCTTGGTTTTGTCGAAATGCAGCGCCTAAAAATGACAAAACTGCATAAAGAAATCATGTAAAAGGAAAGGATAATAAAGTATAGTTTATCTTTTAAAATTGTAAATTGTAAATATTGAAAAGAAAATTCTTTCACATTTATGGTCTGCAACTTTGAAATTTTGCATTGTAAGGTATCTTTCATGATGCTAGATTTCAGGAAGTTAACCTGAAAAAAATGCCACCTTTTAAAATTGGAAAGCAGTCGAACAGATGAAAAATACTTCTATCATCTTGCATTTTGTGTCATATTTATGTACAGAAAATACAGAAGTTACATGAACTTCACTGTTTCCGTATTAAGGCAAGGCAAAAGTATGCTTTAAAATGAACGAATTCAAAGACGTTTGCATTTGACGAGAAACCATGAAAAAACCATTTTGGAAACTCTCATATCATATCATCCAAGAGCGTATAATGTTTTTATTATGTTTAAAGTGATGGAATATGATCAAAATGAAGTTATAAATCATTTTTAAAAATATTTTTTGTTGCCATTTTACACAATTTTGCATTATGACCTTAATTTGACTTTAATTGTGCGAAAATCCATGTGAGTTTAAAAAGTGCGTTGAGCTGTATAAGACAATCAAAGGATCGAAGCATCAAAAACATACCTAGGCATTTTGGCTTAGGATCTCTCACAAAATCATGAATTTTGGTAACAAAAAAACAACGTAGAAGAAGGACACCTTCATTTGTCTTAGAGTAGGTCGTTATGAATCAGTGAGCCATTGATTTCATCATTAGATTTAAACTTTGAAAGAGAATCTAAGAAAGCAAACTGCACTGGTGAGTTCCTGAACTTTTGCATGACTGAATTTAAACTGCTATCATAATGACCATCATCTACATCATTAGTTCCATCCATTAACAGGTATTTTGCTTTTATTTTGGGTCTTTGAATTATTCTTTTTCAGTGACTTACCAATGTAAAAATCTGTCAAAAAGTATTCAAATAACTTTTTAATTTTACAAATAATGTATAATGAATGATTTACTCATAGCTGCACCGAAAAAAGTTCGGCACTTTTTTAAAACAAATGGATTTATTCCAAAATTTACTAAGTGTACAACTTTGGAATCCACTGAATATCATGCCTGAGCTGTTTCAAATACACCGGGTCCTTCTGCATGTTTTACACTTTCAGATCATTAAATATCGTGATGAAACTGTCCTTTGTCACCAGTGAAGGTTTACATCCTGAAAACTAAGGTTATATATTCTTCACCGTAAGCTGTGTTCATGACAGATGTTCAAAGGAGAGTCAAGGATGTGTAAACTAACTCCAAGGGATATCGTTATATCTTAAACGAGAATACCTCCTTTAATTACTTACGACTGCACCTTGTTAAACGTTGACCTTGTCTTTTCTTAAGAAAAATGACATCTTTAATCAGGAATTTGCATATTTAAAACTTGATTTTGGAAGTTTATCCAAGAACTGAATGGAATATTGAATCTTACAGTAACAAAATAGTTCTTATATCTACTAAAAAAATAACTTCCTATCTTTGATTGTTCAACTATAAAAAAAAATGTCCCAGAGCATACATATAAAACTGTAAACAAGATCAGAAAAATCATGCTCTCTTAACGTTTTATGACATGTACGTTATATATATAGATTCTGCATTTTTAGTTCAGGATTGTAAGGTGTGCAAGACGTATGCGTTTCTATAACGCTAATAATTACACGTTTAAGACTTCAACATTTAACGGGTATAAATATTAATCAAATATAAAACATGTATCCGGTATATAATCAGGTTAAAGGTCAAGTACAAAGTGACAACGTCCATAGGCATAGTGTCAAAAGGAATGTCCATTTGTAAGTACATGTAATATACATAAAATGTCAAAGCTATAATTGTTGACATTCAAAAATTAAGGCGAGAGTACCATTTGAGAAAAAAATGTCCAAGGTCAAGTCAGGTTAAAAAGATCAATGACCTTGATATTTAGAAAAGTCCCAAGACAAGCATTGCATAAAAAAGCATCATGATCCTAATTATATACCAGTGTTGGTTCTAATTATTTGGCAGGTATTCCTCAAAAGTAAATCCACATTAAGGTTCAGAATCATTTATAATCCTGGTACTGAACAAAAAAGCTCTATTTTCAATATGCTTTACTCGACAAAATTTAAAATATTCCCTGATTGTTGCACTGCTATTCATCATCACAAAAATGTCAGTAACGTTGCAACACTGTTAGTATGTAAAATATTTAACATTTTTGACTCAATATTAATATAGGAGGAAACAATTAAAAAACAGCCTGTGAAAAGTTCCTGTAAAAAATCATGATAATAAAGGAATTTGTTAAATTACAAGATTTTTAAATATTTCGTTGCTTATTTTGAAATAATCTAATAATTGTTTTTTTTTTAATTGTCACCCTTTAGCTTCCCAAAAAAAATAATCATTATTAAAATCTATACCATTAATTTTGAATTTTTAAAAGGCGGAATTATTCAAAATAATAATAATAATTCTGTCTAATGCCGAGACATAACTCACCAATAATAACACGGCTATCATCTTGCTGATTAAGAAGCTGACACTAGCCGTAGATTCTCTTTATATGTGTTTTTGTACAGGTAATTTGTAGCCCTCCTCTTATACCGTCTAACCTGTAAATCCATTACACCGTTTAAAGATTTTTATAAAACATCAGCGAATTGTTTAAGTTTTTGCGATGTCTATCAAAACACAATAAAATCCTCGCATGGGAATAGACAAAAAAAAAAAAAAAAAAAAAAAAAAAAACAACAACAAAAAAAACAACGACACATAAATAAGCATGTTCAATTATTGATATTTGTCAAAACCTAAAGAAATATTCCATCCCCACCAATATAGCGAAAAAATCACAATTTGATTTGAAATAGAAGAAAACTATCATAATACAAAGTTAAGCCTTTATGCTTTGAATGAAAGCTTCTTGCTATCATATGCAATATATCTAGGTGGAGTAACCTTTTGAAACTGGGGTGAAACATAATACAATGGGCAGCTGGAAAAATAAAATTTACGTCTGGTCAAGAACTCAGTAAGGTCCGTTCAACCGCTGTTCAGTATATATCATCCACACAATTTTAACTCGGCAAAATTAGCTTATTTAAAAAGCAGCCGAATCACAAAATAAATAAAAAGTAAAATTATTTAATTCCAAATGCACAAAGTTAATTCTCTTTTAATTGCGCAATTATTATATGGAGATTTTTTTTTAGAAATATAATCATTAATTTTAATTAAAAATGTCTAAATATACATAATTAAGTACAGTGAGACGGAAATGAAAGTCAATGTTAGGTCAATTTTAGAAGATCATACTCATGAGCATGAAACATGAAATGACCCCAAAGAAGGTCATCAAACAGAATTAAGGTCACAGGTTCAGACGTGTCAAATGTAAATGTCAAGCAGGCAAACCTTTATGCTGGAGGAGCAACTTCGTCGAAGTCAACCTAAATACAAAACTGTTACTCACCTAAAGAATATAATGATTCGTAGGCATGGTAGTGGATAAAGAGAAGTTTGCATGATACATTTGTATAAAAAATTCTTTTAACCATGAATTTCTATTGCTAGAACTATACAGATTCTCGTTTTCATATTCAGCACAAAAATTCATCCCTCCACAAGATAAAACCCTTTTTCAGTTAACTGAAAGATCACTTAAAGGTAACTGAATAACATAATTCTGCCATTCAGTCATTTGTTTAGACCATCAATCATCATTCAGCTGACTGAAAGATGTAGTTTAATCATGTGCTGTATTAACAACTTTCTAATATAGTTAAACAGGCCGAAGGAATTTTAAGTTCACTCCATATAATTTTCTCGCAAGATCTCTCTTAGTTCTTTTTAATGCATTTTAAAAGTACGCTTCTTCCTAAATTGTCCCTCAGGATATAGAATTCATTTAGAAATATCTTGTCTGAGAAATTTCAGGATAGTGTAAGTGCCTTTTTCCCCAATAAAAACAAAATCAAAAATCTTATTTCTCGGAATCTTAAACGGGATTGGAATGTATTCTAAAGTAATCCTACAGAAGAAAATACTAGCTATTCTCTTGCTAATAATATCAGAAATGCACCGGTGGTGAAAAGTTAAGATAACGAAACGTGATCAATCTAAAAATTCTATAAAACACGGACCCTGGATATTCTAAAGGATGAATTAGGTGCATTGGAGGAGTAAGCATCCCTTGATGACCGTAAGCCACCGTAAGCCTTTTAAATACATCAGGTTCTGCAATCCAGAGCATATAAATTAATATAATATTTTATACTCACGACATGTAGAAAAAAGATTGATCATCCCTGTGGTAGTCCTTCCAGCGTAATGGATCAAAGTTTGCAGAGAAAACAAGTGGAACTCTAACAAACGTGAAGGTAAAAATGTGTAACATGACCCTACATTTCAGCAGTGTAAATTCTATAAAGGG